CTATACCTATACCTATACCTATACCTATACCTATACCATCTATCTATTTATTTATTTTTAAATTAAGGTAACACTGGTTTACAACACTGTGTGTGATTTAGGCTACTAGGGTCACACTTCTTCAGATGTATGGCACCAAACACACCCACCACCAAACCAAGCACCCATAGTCCTTTATTCTAGGCCATTAGATTCCTTCCCCCTTTTTTCCTACTCCCACCTTTTCTTCCCCTCTAATAGCTGCAACTCTGTGGTCATATTTCTCAGGCTTGTTTTGGTTTAGTTTTGTCAGGTCCTTTGTTTTGTTTCTCTACATTCCACATATGAATAAATTAATCTGTTTCTTGTCTTTCTTCTTCAGAATTATTTTCTTTAGCATAAATCCCTTCAATTTCCTCCATGTTGTTGCAAATGGCAAGAGTACATTTTTTTTTTAATAACTGAGTCATATTCTAGTAGGTATATATGCCATGTTTTCTTAATCTACTGCACTATGCTTGAACACTTAGGTTGTTTCTGTTATTTGTCTAAAGTAAGTAGTGTTGCAGTTAACATAAGGGTGCATCTACGCCTTTGAATCGATTATTTTTTGTTCTTTGACTAGTTACTTAGGAGTTCTATTTTTAATATTTTGAGGAGCTGTCACCCTATTTTCTATAGGGCACTTACCAGTCTACATTTCCACCAGCAGTGTATGATAGCTTATGAGAATTTTTTTTCCACTCTGTCCTTCGTGTGAATATATGCACATACATAGCACTTCTTAAAAAGTTTGAGATTGTTATAATGAATATGCTATGGTTTTGTTAATACCTTTACCAAAATTTACCAGGTTTTGACATTTTGCCATATTTGCTTTTTGATTTTTTCTCTCCCTTGTTTATGTTTCTTGCCCCCCTTACTCTGTGTGTGTTACTAGAAGCACTTATAACTTACATTAAATTTGATTAATTAGCTAGGATGTTGTCTGTTCTCTCTGTTGTACAATTATTATCATTTTTCCTTTTGTAATAAGTAGCATTTGTGTTTGTTTTGAAATACTTTGAGATATATTTATTCTATTGTCAGATGTCTTCTACTTCCTTCACTCATATAGTATCATTTAACGATCTTGCCTGAATGACTTTTTTCCCTGATAATTATTAATTTATGATTTTAAACATCATCAGCCCCTATATATTTATTATTTGGAATTCTATTTTAAGGAGTCCTTCCCTTATGTTTGCTTGCTATTTATCTAGTACTCCAATGTCATAATAGATTCTTTATTAAAATGGTTCAGTTCTCTACTATCTTTATTTATTTTCATGCTCATGTTGTCCCACTGTAACTATGGTGAATAGTTTCCAGTTGGCAGCTGTGTGTGTGTGTGTTTTTTTTTTTTTTTTTTTTCAGAGTTTGCAAGGGCTGTTTTCCTGCCATTACAATGCAATAGCAAGTACCCCCTCCCGCCTTTTTTTTTTTTTTTTTTTTTTTGGCACACCACAATTTGATGGGACATTTCTTTTCTTTATGGGAAAAGATACTGTAGGCTCATCTTGTACACTTATTGGCCTAACCCTTGTATCATTATTTTCCCCAGGGAGCCTAATTCCTTTTAGTGTGAATGGTATCTTTTAAATAAGTTCTGGCAACATTTTCTACATTTAAAAATATATCTTTTTGAAGTGAGAAATAGGCAGGATTTGTTTTTTAATGTATTTTGCTAATTGCTTATTTCAATTACATTTATATACTTAGTGATATGGTTGGAGATAAGCATGCTATTTCTATTGTTTTTTCTATTTATTCTGTTTATCTTTTGTGCCTATTTTTTCCAGTTTCCTCCCTCCTTTTTGATTAAAAATTTAAAAGTATGCATCATTTTACCCATTAGATTGATTATAACTTTTTGTTTTATTTATTTGTGTGACTGTTCAGTGAGTCCTTAATTTGTCATAGTTTGCCTTGAATATTAGTGTATTTATATAATTTAGTAATCTTACAACAATATATAATATATATATATATAAAACAATATATATAAATATAATGTAATTCATCTTCTCACCCCATTTTTATGTTGTTGGTATAATTTTATGTGTAAACCTGCTTAAAATCTAAACTATATTACTTTTTCTGCTTAGAACATTTATTTAATTTATTTACTTTTAAAGATTTATTTATTTTCATACAGACCTGGGTTGCAGACTAGAGTTGTCTGGATGGTAAGAGGATTCACCAGAGACAGAGTAGGGAGAGTACAGGCAGATTGATGAAGTACACTGCTGAGGGGAGCAGTGTGTGAGTCACAGGAGGTCTGCCAAGCCATGTGGGTCACCTCCCATGCCTGGGATCGCACTTATGCTGAAGCTGCTGTGGCAAGCTTAGTAGTGCTGTGCTTTAACCTGTTGCATCACCAGGGAGGGCCCAACTTAGAACATTTAAAATCATTTTGAAATTCAAGAAATGAGTGATTCTCTACAGTATAATGATACCTTACCAGTAAAGAAATGTGTGTCCCAAAAGAGACATATTTAAAAGGATATGTTTTATATAAAGCCATTTTGGGAATATGTTCAGAGGATTATGCAGAATCTGTAAGTCCTGGATTTAGTCTGTTGGTTACAAGACCTTTTTTTTTTTTTTTAACTTTGCATTTAAAATTATCTATTGTATACTTTTCTTTATGTATACAATATGAAAAGAAAACGTCTTTATTGCATAATAAGGTTTGTAAAATATTCATGCAGTATTAAACTCTTGGCTTGAACCATTTATTTTGGAATGAGAACAAAAGAGATGTTATATGAAAGATACCAATATAGGAGTATGTGTATGTGTGTGTGTGTGTGTGTGTGTGTGTGTGTGTGTGTATAAACCTTTACCGCTAATTGTATAGAAAGTCTGTAGAAAGATCAGGTTGAAAATTATAAAAGTTAATAATCCATGAAAGAACTTCTAATCCATGGGATAAATTGTGGTTTCAGGATATGGAGTTATGCTGAGAACTCTTTACTCAGAGACAGTAGGCACTCAGAGACAGTAGAACTCTTTACATCAGACTGAGTAGGCTTTGAGTTTCAGACTTATGTACTAAAATCTTTTTTTACCATGTACTCACTGTGTGGCCTCATATAAGTTATTTCTCTTTGTTTTCATTTCCTCACTGGTAAAGCAGGGATAATAAAAATTCCTATTTGATTTTGTTGTGAAGTGTAAATGAATTTTAATACATTAAAATGGAATAATTTCTGGGCATCATAAATGTTATTTGTTATTATTATCATCATTACTATTATTATTGTGACAAGTATCACTGTGCCTTGTTTGTAAAATAATTTTGCTACCATGGCTGATAGACTCTTTACACTTCTTTTTCAGCTCAACTGAAATTGATGATATGATTCGTAAATCAACAAACCTATTGCTAACCAGGACTCTGAGCAACTCTTTGCAGAACGTCATTAAAAGGAAGAATATTGGCCTTACTGAGGTAAATATTCGCTTAGTGGAGACAGCCTAGGCAATGTTTGAACAAATGCCTTAAGCTCTCAGCTTTATTTATGAATCACTTATGACTTCTCTATGGTTCATCATGTTATTTCTGATGGGCTCCTGATGTAAAGTGCAAAGGGAAATCTCCTGTTTCTCCTTTGATCATCTTTGAGAAGTCTTTTTTTTTTTTTTTGATGTTGCTTTCTCTCATTTTCACTACCTTAGCTGATTGGCGGGATAAATTTCTATTACTTGCCATAGACCTAAAAAATTTTTCTTGGTTGGAGAATATAGTCAACATCAGGTATCCTGCTCAAAGGAATTGCAGTTCAAATATAGCATACAATATAAAATCATATTTTGCTTGCATAAATGATTGATGCCAGGGATATTGGCTTTAATATTCCTTAGTGTTAGACTCAGGTTTTGTTTTTTGGATATTTCACATACGTGAATGGCAAATTATTTATTGGTAAGTCTGGGGATTTGGTATTGAGGAAACATGCGAGAAAGGCAATCATCCAATTTCTGAGGAAGCTTATGAAATCTCATGAAGGAAGGAGAAACGTTTGCATATGTTAAAAACTCCATTTTGGCAAACTGAAGATTTGACTCCTTGGCATGTAGTCCCAAAATTTAGAAAGATATGAAGTTTCATTTCTCTTATAAACCCAGAATTGCTTGGGAGTCACAGCCTGCCATTTTCTGGAAATTATAGTGTCAAATATAAGAGTTCAGAGAAAATTTTTTTACAGAGAGGATGTTGGCCATCTGTTTTTACCTGTAGAAGTGATCTAGTTTGAAAGTCAACTGCCCTTGAAAAATTGACATTTTCAGATATACACTGTCAAGGATTATGTGAAATTTGTCAAGTGGTTAATAACACTGACCTCATAGTTAAAAAGACAGCTAGCTGGAAGCCAGGTGAACATCTATTTCAGATTTTAGACTGATTTTCTCAAATTTTTATTTAAGATTTTACTTACATGTTCTTTTTCTTTTTTAAATTGATATAACAATGTAGAGAAACAAAACTGAGGGTCAGATAAAGACAAGCTTACAAGCTAACCTCTGAGAGCTGACTATAGAATTTAAGAATCTAGAGATGGGAGGCATGGAGAAGGGGTGAGAATAGAGAAGGTGGTACAGTGGACCATAGTGGTGGACTATGGGTGATTTGAAGGTAGGCGCTCTAGGGTGGCAATACTTGAGCAGGGATTCTATACTTCCAAAATACAAATAGTAATGTCAGTGTTAAGACTTAAATTGTCATATTGGCTAACTTCTTTTCATAAGCAAGAAAGCTACAGCAAGGAAAGTTTGAGTGAAGGTTGAAAGTCATCCTGCTTTTGTTACAGTATACTGGTTTTATTTTTATTCCTAAGTAGAACAGGAAGTTTGTTATTTGTTTGTGAAGTGTTCTAATTATAACTCTTGATATATGCCATTCAATTTAGTAGTCTTCATAAAAAGTCATTTTATATAAATAGCATAGCAGGACATGTAATAGAAGGAAATTTGTCCTCAGAAGATTCTTGAATTTAGTTGTGGTTGTACCATTGATTTACTTTGACATCATAAAATCTGTTATTCCTGTTATTGAATATTTTAAGCAAATGTATCTTATTATTAATAATTTTGCATATAAATGCAAGAATATCTACACACCTTATTAATTATGGTATTATGATGGTGTTTATATGCATAGATTATATAGACATGCTATTTTTATCAACAAGCAATAAATCTTTGTCTCTTGCTCACCTTTGGAAAGAGAAGACCTACTTTCCATTTCAGCTAACTAAAGTGAATGGTGAGGCAGGCCACACTACCCACATTGTATGACAAGGTCTTGATGTGGGGGGAAAAAAAAACCCTTTTTTGATCTATAAAAAGAGTTTCTATTAATCACTATTTATGCTAATCTAGTCTCTATATCTAACATAAGAATTAGGGGGAAATTTCTTTCTTTATGCTCACTAATTATTATCCCATTAATCTTATCTAAAAAACCTTTCTATGTGAAAAACGGTTGGGGTGAAAGTTAGAGGAAAGAGTAGGAAAACTTATTGTTATTTATAATTCTTCAAATGAAACTATGCTACTTAAAACTATAGATCTTGTATTGGGGACTGGGCAAGAAATTATTACAGCCTTTGGTGCCCAGAATTCTTGGACTGTGACATGTCTCTCATTATTGTGGGACATAGATCTGTGCCAGCCCTCTCAAGCAGAGGACTATTAATTATTTTATAATTTATTGTGCCATTCTGTGTACAATGCTATTGTTATTGAACCAAACAATCCAATAAAGTAATTATTGATTTTATATTGAATGTATATTTGTACAATTGCTATGCTACTTGGAAACAGCCAAAAACAAACCATACTTCATGGAAATGGCCATAAACAAATGAAAAGAACCTAGCAGGAACCAGCTGTGGAATATCCTGACTTTTCAGGATCCCCCCCCCCACGTCAGGATCTTGTCATACAACGTGGGTAGCGTAGCCCTCACCAAGTGAGTTATCATCTGGAATCATTATCCTAATAGGCAACATTTGTGGAACAGTTATATTCTTCAAAGTCTAATCACTAATACCATGTTATTTAGTACAACACCATTTGAAACAAGCTGGGCATGCGTTGTTATTCTTGCATTATGGAAGCATAAATAAAATGCTGGCAAAATGCCCTCACTCATATAAACATTAAAATGATAGAAATGAGACCTAAATTCAGGTTGTTCCTTTCAAAATCTATTCACTTTTATTTTAACCTACTATCTTCTATATTGATTTAATTATTTTGTCATAGCAAAAATAAAGTTTATTATTTATTTATTTATTTATTTATTTATTTATTAATTATTTATTTATTTATTTATTTTTATAGGAGGTGCATAGTGACTTGGAAATTGTTCTAGTCAGAGATGGTTTTATGGCAGGAAGCATATATTCACTCAATAGAAGTATCATAAACACAGAAAGCACACAGAATCGTATTTCAGGATTTTAAACCATTCTTTTAAGACTGAAGTTCCTGTATGCTAATGTGTTTCTGTCTGTCTATCTTTGTGGTAACCACATGGTATCTCATCAGTTTTGTTTTTTTTTTTTTTACTGTCCATGTGTTCTATTCTTTATATATACTGACTTTCTTGCTTTTCTTTTATCTTCTTGACCCCTGTTGAGCTAACTCAACATAGTACATTTCAGTTTTAGTAACTATTATAACTTTAATGCCATTTCAGACTTTAAGTGCCTAATCTTAGTTTAATCATCAGGTAAAGCTTTATTCCTTGGGCTGCTTTTTCAAAGTCTGTGGGATAAAGGACAATTGAGCAATGATCAAGAGTATGTTCTAGAGCAGACTGTCTATGTTCCAATTTTGGCTCTCACCTTAATAAGTGTGTCTTTGGACAGATTACTTGACTTTCTTTTTAAAATGGGAACCATAATAGCATGTATTTCATGGGATTGTTTTGAGGATTAAATGGGCTTGTAAATTACTTAGAGCAGTGCTTGGTCCATATGAAATACTCAATGCATGTTACCAGTTAGTAAGAAAAAGGCCTGGGCATATAAACAAATATTGTCAGCTTTAGCACAGAGATGGGGATTTTCAATTAAGAAAAATCAGGAACACAAACAAAAGAGATCCTGTGTACATTTTAGTATAGAAACTAGATAATAAATAATAAACAGTTCATAAATTAATCATCTCAAATGTTAAAAAATGGTGAATTTATGGAGAGAAGAAGGTGAAACTGGATTAAAGAAATCAGGAGTTTGGTGGAGGTTGAATGTTGGGCTTATTAAAGAGCAACACATTAATGGCAAGTTAATGAAAAAGGAATATGCTTGATAGAGGTTAGAACTAGAGCAGTAGATCAAAGGTCTGAAAGTAAGTAACTGAAAAGTCTACAGAATAATAAGGAAGCAAGGATAGCTGGAATGAAGTGAGAAAGAGAAGTAGGTCAGAGACATGCTAGGGGTTTGTAGCAAGCCATTGGAAACTGTTTGGCTTTTATTTTTAATCAAAAGTTAAGCCAATGCAGAATTTTTATTAGGAACCCAATATGACTTATTTCAAAAGGATCACATTGAATGTTACATTGAGAATAAACAGTAAGATGTAACCAGGGAGATTACTTATAAGACTCAGTTATGCAGAATGATATAATGGAAGGTTGGGTGGTAGCCAGGTAAGTGGTGATGAGTGATCAGATCTGGAGTATATAACTTGCATGCTTTCATAATGATTGGTTGTAAGGAAATGAGAAACTGAAATGTTGAAGATAACTCAAAGATAATTTGATTTAAATAACTTGAAAACTGTTTATGCCCCATGAACTATAATGGGTATTGTTAATTTTGGTATTTGGGAAGATTGGAAATTTGGTTTTGGGCTTAATAAATTTGTAGTGTTTTTTAGTCATTAGTTTATATTGATTAAGCAGTTGTAAGATGAGGTTAGAGTCTGAGAGAGAGGTTTGACCTGGGGACAGAAAGTTGAGCACATATAAATAATATTTACAACCATTTGACTTGATACTACACCTAATGAAATTAATAAAGATGTAGAAAAGAAAAACATAAAAGACTGAACCCTTGCACTCCAAAATTAAGTCACTAGAAAATAGAAATCAGCAAAGGAGACTGGAAAGGGATCACTTGGGAAGTATTAAAAAACAAACAAGCCAGGCGAGTTTGGTGCCCTGGAAACCAAGTGAAGAAAGTATATCAAGAAAGAGGGTGTGGCTAGCTATGACGAATACTACTGATAGGTCCAGTAAGAGGAAAAATAAGAGTCACCATTGGATTTAGCAACTTGGATTAGGTTGGTGACCTTGAGAAGAGCACTTTTAATGTAATGATGGTAGGGAATTCCTGATAGAGTAGATTTAAAAGAATGGATCCTGTGTAGAATTTCAAACAATTGATGTAGATATAGCCCCTCAAGAAGGTGGACTTAGCTTGTACAGAGGCTGTACTT